TCGCGAATCATCTTTTTGCAGGAAATCTTCAAAATCGTGATAAATCTTCTTTCTATCTACTCAGCGTACGCGCAGCTAGCCACAGCAAAACACAATATTTCCTGCATCGTAAATAGAGTCGTCCCCCTCGCATTAGGTCCTAAGTAACATTGATCGATTCTCTTCGTCGATTTTCTCTTTCGTTAATATCTTGAGCACATAACCTTTTTTTTGTTGTGTTTGTCGTATTAATGCTAGATAAAAGCTTCTTTTATCGATCTGTGTGCTGAAAATCCCTTGGAATGTTTTTTCATGGTCGTGGGGATACAATGAGAAAGTCGACGAAGATAATCGATCAATGTTACCTAGGACCTAATGCAATGTTCAGCTTAAACTGTAATTTTCTCGCAGTGATTGGTCGCATTCAACGAGACATTAGCTCCCGTAGGGAACTGGGACGGGACTTGACAACCCTAATAAAATTTGTATGGTTATTTTTCTTAACGACGTGATTGGAACAAATCCAAATCATTTGTGGAGAAGTTCTATAATTTGGGTTATCGTTCGCTTATGGTACACTGAAGTCTTTTTTTACACGGTTTTTTTTGTACGGTTATTTTTACAAGGTTTTCCACGATTTACACGGTACGTTTTTAACGATTTCTCGACAACGATACAACCTATCGACTTGATTCCAATCACATTATCCGTTTCAAGCTATAGGTAATCGAATGGCATACTTAGAAAAAAATCACATTTTTTGGTGTAAATACAGAAATTTTTAAAATATGTCTGTATGGACCATATCATGCTTTAATTACTGATGAGTATTCACTCGAGATACACTGGTCAATCTTTCATTAAACTGAAACACTACTGGTTGTCGCAAAGACCGAAACGAAAGTGATCAGCTCGATCGGTTCGTATATTAACAAAAGCTCTCGATCTCGCCCGCAGGCGTTACATGCGTTTTCATACATTGACAGTTGATGGAGAAGGTTGGTATCCAACAGTTCTTCCCCTTTGGAAAGCTCAAACTGTAAACAAGCAAATTAAATCGATATTTCACAAAGAAAAACCTGAATCTATTTTCATCTATTCGTACCATACTCGAAAGTATTATGTTAAATCTAATTTAATATTTATAACTTTTAATTCGAAAGTGATATTTACCACCACGCAAAAAACAGAATTCACTCCATACCTTCACTTCTTCCGATCAATATATTCGATCATTCTGGATACCAAAATTCATCATCCCTCGTTGACTTCCGAATACGTTTAGACCGCCTTACGCCAACATCGGTCATATCGCTCCATTCTTGCTTCCGCTTCCTGTTCCGATTTCGTGGTACCGGATCCCCGACTGGCTCCTCAGCTACCAATCCATCACGAATTCCCGATCCATTCGGATCATCTTCAATCCTCGGTCTTTGCCGATTCATCGTCATTGGTTGTTGATGTTGTTGTATGGAAATCGTAACGTTGGGCCTTGAGAACGCCCCACTATTTTTAGTGATCCGTAGCTGATTCCGGTGTGCCATAGTGACCACGCTTCCAAGCTGTACCTGAATTGTCATTGTCGTCGTCCTCTGTCCTCAAATACTGTAGTCGTTCACACAGGTCCGCGCTGGATTGTCCCACCTCCTCTTCGTCCGTCTCCTCAACGAAATGCACTGAATCACGCCTCATGTTCCTCAGTTTAAAGCATTTACGTTTGATGTGACCTCGTACGCCACAGAAGTCACACACCAAATCAGCATGGGGTCGAGTTTGGTTCCTTCTCCACTCCACAGGTTTAAAATTAGCGCTGTTCCTATTATTTCCCTGCCCACGCCTTCCAAATGTACCTCTTCCAGGTTGTGCTCCATTAAAAGGTCTATTAAAGCCCAATCTACTTTTCACAGGTCCCCTACTGGAACCTGCTTGATCAGAAAAACGATACACTGCCGCTAATTTTGCTAACGCTGAGCCATTAGGAGATTGAATTGAAGCTATTTGCACTGCATTTCCCACATCTTGCAACCTCCGAGCATTGGCCCCTGCCATCTCCCAAGTTGTGCAAATCTTTTCAGCCGAAGCTAGAGTCAATTTTTCTTCGTTGAATAAACGTTGTTGAAGTAATCTATCGCGCACACCTGCTACAATTCTATCTCTTATCGCCGAATCTTTAAAATCTGCAGAACTCTGCCTGCAGTTTTACCGAAAGAATAAAATCCTCAACCGATTCGTCGGGTTGCTGAACACGGTTGTTAAATTTATAACGCTGTATCAAATCCGTTTCTGTTTTATCAAAACGAGACTTCAGCCCGGCTACCATGTCGTCATATGACGCGTTCGTTAAAGCGTCATTAGGAAACAACAATTTAAGTTCAGTGAACACTGTTGGACCACTCATCGTAATGAGGTGTGCTTTTTTCATTTAAGTCTCCACCTGGTTCACCAAAAAGAAATAACCAAGGCGTTCAATCCAGTCGGCAAAAGAGTTACCCTTACGGTATGGTTCTATTGTAAGGGAAATATTGGTTTGAGCCATTTTCTATGGAATTTAGCTTTGTACGCGCTTTATTACAAAGTTCACACAAAAAAAGGTAAAAAGAAATGGAATAGGCTTACCGAGATTGCTGATGCTGTCGACCTTTGCCGTACACAGCTGGACCTTCTACCCTTTGGCAGACGATGTTTTAAGAAGCAGTGGGCAGAAAAAGGAACAGGACCAAGGTGATATAACCCGGTTGGCGTACTTGATTTGGAGGCGATAAAACTGCACCGGATGTACAGATAACGGCGACTCTAATCGTTGCTGTTTTAATTGGTCCGAACTAAAGTCCAGCACGTTGTCGGTTTTCTGGCCAGAGATGACTATTGCGTCGCCTTTTTAATAAAAACCGTTTTTCCTCGTCGACACTGATGAGTATTCACTCGAGATACACTGGTCAATCTTTCATTAAACTGAAACACTACTGGTTGTCGCAAAGACCGAAACGAAAGTGATCAGCTCGATCGGTTCGTATATTAACAAAACCTCTAGATCTCGCCCGCAGGCGTTACATGCGTTTTCATACATTGACAGTTGATGGAGAAGGTTGGTATCCAACAATTACAAATTGCATCAAAATCCGATTTTTTTTTAAAACATTTAAGCATGCGAAAAATCAAAATCTCGTAAGTTTTTTTTTACACGGTTTTTTTTACACGGTACGTATCCCCCGTGTAAAAAAAGACCTGAGTGTATTTGTTTATTAGGGAATCATGTAGCGAGCCAATTTTCTGTCAAATCCGAGCCAGTTTCTGATTGGTCGTTTTGACAGTAGCAATCGTGGAACAAAAAGGACAGAGGGATCCAGCCCAGTGGCAGACGCGTAGTCAACATGTTATACCGTGACAGCGGGCCCAGCATAGCAAAATAAACGATTTGGGCCCGGGACATGCTGCCTACTGTCAAACGCTGCTGTTGGTATAGACCTTGTTATTGGCCTGGAGGGATCGCATCAATCTGGCTGGCAGTGATGCCGGAATCAATGTTTACGTCACTGTCAACGTCAATGAAAGTTGAAATTGAGTGCACTGTGTGTTTTAAGCGATGGATATTGTTGTTTGTTTATGGTTGTTTTTATTGCGTTGAGCAAAAATGATGTACAAGCTGCTAAACTGCGGTAGAAACTCCGAATAAAATCCAAATTAAAATAGAAAAAAAAAACATATTTAACATTCTTGGCATCATTGGTCAACTCCTAAGAGGAAGAGGTGACAATTGGCTTCTTCCTCTTTTATTTCTATCTCTATCTCTATCTTTATCTATCTCTATCTCTATCTTACGCACATGAAATCGGCCAATCAGTAGCTGGTTCACGTTTGACAGAAAAGTGGTTCTTTTTCGCCGCCGTATTGTCACCTCTTCTCTTAGGTCAACTCCGTCAAACACCACGCACAATTTTCCGAAGGGCATTTTTCAAAAACATTAAGCAGAGTGAGAAGCTTGATTGTCAAGTCCCGTCCCGGGTACGGAAGTACGGCCGATCTATTCCAGTTGTCGCTTGCCTGCACACTTACTTCAGCTTATTCACCGGGTGAGTCGATCGTACTCAATTGCGTCTGATGCATTAGGTTGTCAAAATCTTAGTAAACGAGAAATGTCAAACTGAGTAAAAGCCACTCAGTCAGCCAAATCCGGGACTTAGAAAAAATGCCTGCCATGGTGGAGCAAAGTCTTTAGCTTCAGTTAAATGAATCTGGGGCAGGTAATTTCCATTTTTTATCAAAACAAATAAAAAACAAACTTCCCGGCTGAAAATATCACAGAGTGTCTTTGATTCACTCTGCGTAAGAACGTCGTCTGCTCAAAAGTGAGTAAAAGTGCGCCCGACCGATTTTCCCCCTCACCTATTCAACATCTCCCAGTACGGGTTGAATAAATTGAAACCTCGTCCACACTCCGAATCGACCATATTCGGAAAGTATTATTGAAAAAGGGGTGCTACAAATTTCACTACAGCAGCAGCGTAACAGACTATGATAATCAAATCAGTTATTTAAGATACATTTAATAAAGAAAGTAACCAAAGAAATCTACCATAAATTCACATAAATATTACTGCAAAATCCAGTGACATTTAGTTGAAAATCTCGTAACTTTCGAGTGAAGCCAATTGGGCGATGATCGTCCGATAAAATTTACGTGAAAATCACCAAATTTTCATATGAACCACTTGAAATAAAAATTCATTTCCAAAACACGTACTATTCACCTGAAAAGTACGATGGAAAATATCTATGTACCTTTTCAGGTGAATATTACGTGAATTTTATTTGCAGTGTATGTATTTACAGGCTGTTCGGGAGATATTGCTTAGAGAACTCAATACCATATCCTTTACTGCCTGCACATTGTAGGCGAAATTTGCGTAAATAAGTAAGAAATAAAGGTATTTAACCTTATCCGTTGCCATTTGACCTTTCATTATCGGAGTAACACATTGATGTTGATTTTCGGATCTCTGCATTTGAAATACCATTAGCTCAATTTTTCATAATTATTTTATTTTTGTATATATAATATATTTTAAATTTTTCATATACTTAAAGACATACTTTTTGTTTCCACTTTTCACTTAATTCTGAATGACATCTTCACCAAGTAACTTTTCTTTCGAGTTATTTTCATTCAAGCATGCTTTTGATTCCTTGCTGGATATCTCGCCATGTTGCAAATTTTTCTTGTGTTAGTAAAAACTAAGGGGACATTTGATAGAAACATCTTTCATCCTGTCTTGGAAAACATCGTTCCGTTCCGTTTTTGGCACAAATTGCACACTAATAATAGAAAGAAAGTAATCTTTGGAAGAAATTATAAACCTCTGTATAAATTTAATACAATTGTCAACGGGCAACTAAGAAAATCGTATGCTTACGTTCTAACTGAAGCCTAATTAACTTATTTCTACTAGAAAAGTATAATTTTTTTTGGCATCGATTCTACCGTTTTCGCTATAGCTCTGTTTGATAAATCTGTACAGGAAATTTTGAAAACAAATATCAAAATTAAACGAAGAGCACGAAATTCTTTGGATTGCTAGCTTTGGGACCGAAAATTATGAAACTATAATTTCATTTTGTACAAACTTATGATGGTTACTTTAATCGAAGAGAAATCAAATGTACATTTCCTTATGACCTATTAAGAGCAATCGAAGAAGATTCATTCATTAAAGTGAGCGCTGAAATTTGGGAGAAATTCGTTGTTTAGGAAACCTTGCCGTTTGTGCGGAAATGAAATGAGGGAGAGGGATCTATGCAGTATAGATTTTGAGCATATATAAGTTAAATCAATAATAAGGCAAAAATTTGCTAAAATTAGCGCGAGAATGTATCGAGAGCACGACTAGCGCATGTGCGACTGCCCTCACGTGGCAAATGTGGGAAGCATTCGTGTGTTAAGCGTTTCTCTTTGCTCGATGTGTCGGGGGTTCGCGTTCTGGCTATTATTGGCACGTACACGCTGGCTAGTCGGAGTTTGAATTCATTGTGGCATTCCATTCGTTATTAATTTTATATTATTGTCTGGTAACAAGATCAACTCCTTACAATTTGTTTTCTTTTATATTCTGTCTGTTAGTTACACGTTTTCGTTATATGTTGTTGTAATTTGCCTAAAGTAGTGAGAAACTTTTCGCTCGGGAAAAGAATGTATTTTTCGAGAACTTTCCCATCAATCAGCTTCCTTTAGTTCATTTTCTTTTCTTTTTTTTTACTGGAATGGTTATTTTTTAAGTTTTGTTGTTTTGAATTTTTTACGCTTGAATTTATGATTATTCGTAGAAATATTTAACAATACTTTATTATTAAATATAATATTTTCTTATTTTCCACTTACGTTCCTTAAGTCATAATTCAATAACTAAATAATGCTCAATAATAATATTCAGTAGTAATAATAAAAATAGTAATTCAAGTTAATGTTAATTCAAAAGACACTTGTTTTGCGTCATCAGCAACGCGCGTGTTAGCGCCGTGGGCTGTGACAATACGTTTGCTAAATTAACAGTTTCGTTGTTCGCTCGGTTTTACTGTTCATTGATTTCTTTGTAGACTGTATTTTGTAAAAAAGATTACAATATAACTCGATGTACTATTTCCATATCTTCAACCAGCATCTTACGTCAAATATGTCTTATAAATGTATAATACAGCTTAACATATTACATATTTTACAATGAGATAACCTTAGTCTTGCTATAGTTTCCATTTTGCTACTCAAAACAAAACGTTGCTCGGCGTTGTTGCAAGTATTTACACAGATATACTTATTAGTTTACGTTTTAGCAATTATCCAAACGTGTTTACATTACATGCTGCAAGCGGACAATTGATTCAAACCCTATTCTGGCAGCGAAGGCCGCTGCGTCGATGGGGGTTGCTGAAACCATTTGGTGATGAAGATGATCAATGCAAGCGGTTGGTGTCTGAATCGTTTAGTGTTCTGGGTAATTTCTTTACAATTTTCTGATCGTTGATTATTTTTTTATCCGTATTTAAGGAAGGAGTTAAAGGGATTCGTTTTCATCCGTTACTTTAGATAGGATAGATATTTATCGTTTGGAAGAAAAAGTATGGGGAAAAGTGTACTTTGTAGTATAATAGAAAGTTTGAGATATTAGTTGTCAATTCGTTTCAAAGGTTAAATTTTACTTTATTGTATTGTCTTGTTAACACCGTGTGGTCCAAAAATGCGTATATATTTTTTTTCTGATTTCTTTTCTTTATCTAGAGTATTTCCATAGGTTTTGAAATAAAACATAAAATTAAAAGAATAATTGCTAGACCCAGCCTTGAATGATGTTTATTTGTTTTTTTTTGCAATAGTTGTTTTCATGTTTGGCATAAAATCAACACTTTTTCCTTCATTATGGCAACTGAATTCACGTGAGTATTTTACAGGTTGTGCACATCGTGAGTTTTTTTTTCATCACACAGTGACACGCAGCTTAAACGCTAAATCACTTATCAGTTAGCAAAAAATAAGTAATCCGAGAGTCGTAACAGGCTAAATTCTAGACACTACACAAATAAACCTTAGCGAAGGAATGAGATTCGAGTTGCTTGCTTAAGAGTTTTACCTTTTTCACCTTTCTTATGTAGGCATAAGAAGAGTATAGCCGGAGACAATCAACACTGTATAGGGTTGGTCTCTCGAGGATCGATAAGAAATTTTAAATGCACAGCTTCTATTAACACCTCAACGCCCCGTGACACTGACTGGGTCACTAGCGATGTGCGTCAAAATATAATAAAACTGGGATCAGTTCACTGTTGATTTTGAAGTTTTCAATTTTTAAGTACGATCATTCGTTTTGCCTTGTTTGTTGCCGAAAATACCGCGAATGAATTTATTAACCAATAATCAACACTAACTAAATCAAGTTATCGAAAAAGTTCGAACAACTTTTCGATGGAGCAGTTATATACATAATGTTGTTTGTTTGCCTTTTCTAATGTACTCCACCGATTCCACTGCCGTAGCCCATGAAGCTCGAGTTGAGATAACTGTCCACAAGTAGGCGTCGATCAAAGTATGAAACTGGCGGTATCGAGGTTTGGAATGGCACAGTAGGCGGTGGTCCTCCCATCGAAGGTGGCGGCGGCGGAGGCGGAGGCGGCGGAGGTGGCGGTGGTCCAGGAAAAACTAGCGAACTAGTACATCCTGGCCGACGGCCGCGTCTGCCGGGTCGGTTCTGTGGCGGATGGTGAGACAGCGCTGAGGCAGCCGTCATTGGTGAGTAACCACCGGCGACGGCTGGGGACGGAACTTCCCGCCCCTGATCCTCATCTTATTTACCTTCCCTGTATGGCTTGCAGTACGAGTATCGGTGGTTCATGTGCTGGCTGTAGGAACCCGAGTGCGAGAATCGTTTGAGACATTTGCAACACTGGAATGGTTTCTCGCCGCTGTGCAGCCGTTTGTGCTCCGTCAGGTGGTGTTTGTGTTTGAAGGCCTTTGGACACTCGACGCACTTGTAGGGACGCTGACCTGTGGGTGGGCGAAAAGTGTGAACACAGGTTAGTGGAGATGCTGGTATACTATTACTATGACTAATAAATATTCACTCAAGGATACGGTGACTAGGGTTGGCAATACCGGAGGTTTATTTCTAAAACCGGTAAAACCGGTATTAGGAGGAACTATAGAAAAACTGCATAATTATAAGAAAATATGTTTCTTGGTAAATGATTCGATTCAGTAGGAAATGCACTCATCAAAGCTAGGCTTGTTCGTTAAAGTAAAATTTAAGAAAGTAAAGAGCGTTTATCGTATTATCTCCCAAACGAGAACGGATCTTACTGACGAAGTAAGTAGGATGTACAATACAAAGGGCATCGTAAATCATCTTCATATATTTGCCTTTCAAACCCTCAGCATAGGCAGTAGGCAAACTCTTGTTTAATAACTTTTTTCAAACTGTTTGCAGACGTTGACGCTGAACTAGTTCTGCAAACTTTGACTGCTGCAACCGTCTTTCAAATTTTTCCTTCACGGTCAAACCATCGTTCTTTACATCAGCTGTATCAACCAGTCAATTCAGCTCCTCTCTTCGCTCGTCTTATGCATGTTTTCTGTTGTCTTCCAAATCAATCAAACGACGAAGAATTTCAAGCGAATGCTTTATCAAAGTAGACCGCGATGTCTTGAAGAATACTCCAAAGAAGGAGGGTCTAGTATAAGAGAGGAGCGGATTCAAAACAAACTGCCATGGCAACCTATGTCTAGGTGAATTCTAGCAACACTGCCAATGCAATCAAGGTAGGCGCTGCTCGATTGGCTCTAACTTTGACAGTTCGTTTGGCTCAAAACCAGCCTGTCCGATTCTCTCTTATACTAAACCCTCTCTACAAAGTCATTTGTCATTGTATGTATATAAATTATATTATTCTTTTTTGTTTTCAATATTACAAACATTCATTTATTTATATTTCAGTCACTATGGTAAACATGTAAAAAAAAACAATGAAATATGCTGGACAAATCCAACAAAAATACCGAAAATACCGGTTTTTTATCGCACAAAAACCGGTTTTTCGGTATTGTAAAATAGCACGGTAATACCGGTAAAACCGGTTAATCAACCCTAACGGTGACTGCGTATATTCTATTCAAACTCTATCTACGATGTAGGAAATTTGTATTTTACTGTGGTTAGCTGCGCGCACGCTGAGTAGATAGAAAGAAGATTGGTGACGATTCTGAAGATTTCTTGCAAAAAGATGATGTGCGATGCAAGTAGATGTGAGAAATGAAAGAAATTTTTCGAAGATTGATTCGCTAGTGTGAGATATGTTGAGCATCTAGAATTGAGATTTAGAAGTGTCGCCCCCCTCGATTCAAATGCACGACATGATCAATAATCTATGTAGAATTGATTTGCGATGTTCCAATTTCCTAACATATAAATCATAAGGAGATAGCAGAATAATGTGGAATGTCTTGAGTTGTATCGAAGCCTCATTGATTCACGGAATTCTCAATTTAAGGAATTCTAACAAAAGCGGCGCCCGTGGTGTAGTGGTAGGCGTGTTTACCTCTCACTCTAAAAGTGCCTGGGTTCAATCCCAGGCGGTGCCACCATAGAGGTAACTCTAAGACCAGAAGGTGCCGAAGAAACGAGCTTAACTTTTTGGCTCAGCTCTGGTACTATCTTCGGTCCCAAGCTAATCGATTCACCCCTCGAAACATAGGAAAATCCACTAACCCCTCATTTTATCTGTCAAACTTTCATAGCGAATCAAAACAAACATAGTGTAGTACTGGAATTTATACTAGAATGGGTTACGTTAGTCGATTTGCTTGGGACAAAAGGCTAGTCAAGTAGTGAGCCAATTTAAAATCGTTAGTTTCGTATTGATTGTTTGTGCCACCGGATTTTCGAGGCATAAAATCTCTGATCACGCCTTCCGGGAAGTAAAGCCATTGGTCCCCGGTCTATGAGTTGATGGGTCGATAGGTGGGTCCAGGTGTGGGAGCTGCCTCCTGACGTCGGGTAGCATTGGTACTCAGTACGGAAACCAAGATTGACGGAAAAAAAGTCAAGGAAAAAAAAACCCGCTTCAAAATTACAAAATATTGAAGTAGCAAACAAAAAATTCAGCCCTTTTCAAAAACGTCCCTTGTTGATTCTAAAACTTCACATTTTTTAAATTTATTATTAATATATTAAATGATACGAGATGTTCAGATATTAATTTTTGCTTCATCCCTTTTTATTTATTTTTGCATTGGCTCGACAAACTATGATCAATGGTACACAAAACGACATCCATAGGCCTCCGTAGAACTGGTTCCGGATATTCCGGATCATGATTTCAGATGATCAAACTCTCTCTCATAGCCACTTTAAAAATAGCTCTGGATATTCCGGGTTGTTGTTCCATATGGTCGAAATGATTATCTTTCATGGTTATGACAAGTGAAATATCAAATCACATCTTCATGAAATATGACCAATGACACTCAAAACAGGTACAGGTAACGGATTTACATTCTGCAAATTCATGATTAATCATTATCATATCATACTATATATCATCAAACCATATCTACTCGACGAAATATTTATCACCACTTCTTATTTGGCTGCGTTACGTCCTCTCTGGGATTCTACCACAGTTCTCAACTTAGCGTTCTTTGAGCACTTCCACAATTTTCCCAACCCGAAAAATGCATTACCAGGACTGGGAATCGAACCCAGTCACCTTCAGCATGGTCTTGCTTTATAGCTATGGCTTAACCGATTGAGCTAAGTCAATGGCATTCACATAAAAAATCATTACACAAAATGGACCTCGGCTTCAGATGTTCCAAAAAAACGTTTGGTTACAGGCAAATCCGTTGTTTATTATTTTTTGGATCTAAGATTCCAAATATTTGGTATCCATGGTCTTTATTCAGAAACTGGCAAATATGTATGAATGAATGTATTCACCGGGGAAGGTGGTACCTAAATTCTCTATAAAACGATCTGCGTTGTTTATGGACAGACCCAAAGCAACTGTCACTCTATCAGCCAGTTTCAGATACGCGATTAGAGGAAACATTCATCTGATGTTAGGTCCTATCAACATTCCACAAGACTAGTTTGTGAGAGCGTTTAAACCCCACCTCCCCCTGCATAAACAATCATCCATACAAATTTATTCAATTTTGTATGGACTGTGGATATTCGCCAACCTCCCTTCCCCCTAAAACATAAAATATTTCCATCTTGGTTGGCTATTTGGTTTGGCTTTGACCTGGGCCTTGGTCCAATTCTAATCGACTAGCTTGATGTTCTTGTTGAAACTCTTCTCGCAGCTCCACTGCCATGACTGATGCCTCTGCTGCGACATCTTGCCTTGTTCTAATCCAGCTTTCGTTTCCGCCCGTCCATAGTGAATCGTCGATTCACCTTCACTTATGTTTCCGAAAGTCTGTTTATACCGACTTCAGATGTGTCGTATTCATTTTAGCTATATAATGCCATATAGGGGAATTGGATGTAATGTCGGCTTAAATGCCCCTAATTTGGGCCCATACATAAATTCAGCAATCGACTAAATTTTTTATAACGACAAAAAATATCCATTAGTACCGTCCCAATGACGCGTTCATGAAGATAAAATTGATAAATAGCAGATTTTTAGCGATGGGCCCAATCTTAGATTCATAGGCCAACATGAGAGCCACTTCCCCTATATTCGGTACATCTTAAATCACCTTTCAGGTGTCCAACTGGCTCTATGATTGTTGTTATGAGTGCCATTGGCCATATTTCGTTGAGTAGATGTCATCTGTCGAAATCTTTGGCAGTGGTTTGTTTACACCTCTATAGAGAACAACTGGTGCAAGTTTGATCAAAGTAGACAATCGCGTTCAGAAATAACGTCAAATGGAACTCGAAAGAAGAAAAAATATTGCGCACAAACACCTGGAAGTGCTGAAGATGCCAAACACAACAGTTTGTCGAGTGCTGAAAACCTACAAGGAAACCCTGAGTGTGGAAAGCAATCAGTGGACCTACGAATAAACTGGAATCAGAGATCGTCAGCTGCGCAGCAAGGTGTTGAGGTGCGTTAATGCCAACCCCGGTCTTTCGATCCGATATGTGGCCAGAAGGTACAACACAACGCCAATTTTCAAACAGTGCGGAACATCCTTGCCATGGAAGGATACAAGTCGTACAAAGCCAGTAAACATCCAAACCGGTTCATGCAGCAGAATTCCGAGGCCAAAAAGCGTGCAAAGCTCTTGTACGACTGTGTTTTGACGAAACACAACGGTTGCACTTTGATCGATGACGAAACATACGTCAAACTCGATTTTAAGCAGCATCCTGGTCAAAAGTTTTAGATCGCGACTGGACGTGGGGATGTGCCGGGAAGATTCAAGTTCATGCTTGCCGACAATTTCGCAAAGAAGGTCATGATTTGGCAAGCGATTTGCAGTTGTGGCCTGAAAACGGAACCATTCGTCACATCCTCGACGAGTTTACATCGAAGAATGCCTGAAAAAGCGTGTATTGTCGCTGCCACTACTCCAAAATGGTTCTGAAGTGGTATGCTGCCAACAAGATCGATTTTGTCCCCAAGCTAGTGAATCCTCCGAATTGCCCGGAACTTCGACCAATCGAAAATTGCTGGGCAATTTCAAAGCAGAGACTTCGACGAAGCGCCGGGGCAGTCAAGGGCATCCAGCAAATGGGGGCAACATGGAAGAAATGCGCTGATTCCGTGTCCGTTTCTACTGTGAGGGCGCTGATGGCCTCTATCAAGAGGAAGGTTCGAGATTTCGTTTGAACTGGAGAAATTTAACCATATAATGCTGAAACTTTGAAGTTTTAATAAAAGTACTGTAAAGCAACTATTAGTGGACTGTTTTAAACTTATTGAATCACGAATTACAGGTCTTTTTGTGTGTACCAATTAACTTTTAGTCAGCCTTTATGGCAAGGATAGATAACACATTTCTAGATAGAGCTAGAAATAGAGCATAACATCTTT